GAAGGGAGATGCATATAGGTTACACTCAATGAGTAAGGCATGACGGAGGAGGTAGTGTTTCATCTGAAATGTGGGGTAAATTAGGTATGGGGGTGGGGAAAACAGTCAAGGTATGAGAAAAAAATAAGTCTTAGTTCAAAGACAAGTAAAGAGAGTTCTTACTGAAGCCAAGAAAGGATTTTTTTTCTGGTGAGTGTCAAAGTTTAGATAGTCAAGGTGTCGTACACTGTTCATGTCTTCTTTGGTTAATTGTGAATGTTTCAAACTGGACTTTATAATAAAGAAGGGAAACTTGAGGAAGGAGAAAATGAAAACCTCCCATGTAGAAGAACTTCTGGGCAGTCTAATTATTACTCCCAAAATGCAGTTATCAAATTTCAGCATATATTAAAGAAAAATTATATTAGCTAGAGTAAACTGTGTAGCAAACTATTTTGTTGTATACAAAACATTCAAAATCTTGAGGAGATTTATCACTGCATCCAAAGAAGCAGTCCAAGGCAGGGAAATGGATTAATAAGTTTTACAAACAACATAAATTAGAAGTAAATTGCTTCCTCTATTTTCAGTGTTCTAAGATGATAAATACCATGAAACAGAATTGGGTTTTATATAGTTTCTAGGATCACCCAATAGTCCTATTTTTTTCTTACAATGCTGCTGCAACCATTGGACCTCATACCTCGCTACTGCAGCCCCATCACTTAGCATCATGTAAGTGCTTATCTTCTTGCTCTGATTGCAGCATCAGCCAAACTGTCCCTGTGTTCTTTCTCCAGGTATCCAGTCAAGGGTCACTAGCATCCTTCCATTTAGCATTTAGATTTACCGGGTAAATCTTGTCCTGGCTGTAGATAAAACCGTTTTGCTCTTAATACCATTGAGAGAAAATAGAGACTGGAAAAGGAACCTTACTAAACTTCGAGAGAAATAATGTATACCTTTAAACAATGTGTCATAGACCACAATTTCTCAATTGTGGGGACCCCATGTGAAGTCGACTGAATGTGGGGGTGGCAAAATCTGTTGGTAACAGCAAAGTGTTTTTGAATATGTAATGGCCAAAAGCTAATTCAAAATCAAATGCATACTGAATCCAAGGTTCCCAGAGCCCTGATTGTTTATGTTGCATCACATGACTGCACTGCAACCTTGGTTCTGAGCGTAAAACACACATAACTCACACTGTGTGTACTGTCCACCACTAGCCAAAAGAACAGATAAAGACAGAAATATATATTCTTAGCTAAGAAGTCAAATAAATGAGGCCTGAAAATTCTGAGTTGGCAATATTTGTCAAAATGTATCACTGGAGTGGTGTAGAAGGAAGCCAGGCTATGGTGACTAAAAACCAAAAGGAGCACTAAGCAGAGACAGTTAACATAAGATATTCTTACCAGCAGCCTGACTATAACATGAAAATTTCAGTAACCAGTCACCACAAATAGTTCCAAGGTTTAGTGAGGTATTTCTATTCATTCATTGTCTGCTGAGAAACAATAAGAAAAGAGTAAAAATTTAAAAAATAGGTCAAAAGTATGACTAAGAAGCAATATCCAAGAGAGAGAGAGAGAGCATGAAATATTTCTTATAGAACTGGACACACATGTAGATGAGTACCTAGACGTAGAGATGAGTATCACACACTTGGTAGCTCAAGTTTACGTTGTAACATGGGGTACACAGAATTTGGGACTGAGACTTCTAAAGACTAAACTATTTAATGAATCCTCTTCCTCTTCTCATATTTCCTTTGAAATAGCCTATAAATCTTACTGATGTTCCATAAACAAAAAAGAGCCTGTTTTCTATAAATAGAACACCCTCTTATATAAGTAACCTTTAGCGTTGCAGATAGCAAAACTGGCCTTCTTCGTGCTGCACTTCATTCATCCTGATTTATAGTCATAAAGGAGATACAAATAGAAATATGCATTGTCTGTGTTCATGCACATATGTTGCACTTTTCAGGGTGATGACATCTCTACTACCATCAAAGGAATCTTTTATGGTTGCATAATGAAAAATTCAAAAGCTCTTTTTTTTATTCATTCAGAAATCTAAATCCATACTTATGAACTCTTAATGCAAATAATTTGTGTGGGCCAAAATTCTTATGTGTGTCCTACCTAGATAATCACGAGTCTTCAGTTTCCTGCTCCAATCAGAATAATCTCATTCAAAGATGAACTTAGAATTTGAAGATAGTGATCTTTGTCGACTAGTTGAGCAAAAGACCCCTCACTGTTTTCCATTTCAGGATTCAGGCTTCAGACTTCAGAATCTCTCTTGATGAATCTAGACAGTCAATTGCATGTAGAGATATAAACTGGATTCTCTAAAAAAAAAAAAAAAAAGTCTATGTCTTCTCAGAACTTGAATTGAAGAAAAGGATGTGGGCCAGAAACAAACATACAAAAATATCTAATTTCCACTTTGAGTTTTATCAACTGGTATAAAACACTATTTTAAATTTGTAAACAAATTAAAAGTTATATATTCACCAATTTTCAACTTAATCACTTGCACATATATTCCACTTAATCTACTTTTTCTGTATTAAGCTTATCTTTTTTAAATATTTCCCAGAACACTTGAATATTAAAATAGTTTTTTAAGCTACAAAGGTATCCAATTCCTTAGAAGACTCAGGAACATTCTTGACACATCATGAGTTTATCACAGCCCTAAGGAGAAGGTGTTAGAGCCTTATTGTCTTGGAAACAGCTTAGGGGTGTGGATGTGCAGTGCTTTTGCTGTTAGTTCAAACTCTGTGACACTCCTGACTTCCAGGGAAAAGTCAATGTTCAGGATTTTGAAACACACAAAAGTATATTGCAGTACTGGAGAAAACCCTAGGGCCTCACCTTGCTAGGCAAGCACTCTGCCACTGAGCTAATGCACAGACCCTGCATTGCTACACTTTAAGATGCAAGTATCAAAGAGCAGTTCAAAGGGGCTTAGGGAAAAGCAGATGGATTGTTTCGGGTAGTTCACTGCAAAGCAAAGAGCCTGGGTTGTGCAAAGTTGGACTGAGGAGCACAACCTACGTCAGCAATATTTAGTCTTTTCTTCTCTATCTCCTCTGCTACCCTTCTCTGTGTTCACTTAATTCTCAAGCCATCTTTCTTTCTTGATCGAGCAGTGCTGTGCTTACATATTCCTCCAAATCACACATGAAAAAGGATATTTCCACCAAAAATCTTGGACTGTTGCCTCTAAATGCATAACCTTTGGCCAAATCCCCAGTCCCAACCGTAAAGCCTACATGATACTTCAAGGAAACCATTTGTCCTAGTCACACATGAAGGTGAGCAAATGCCCCACAAGCAGAACTGACAGATATCTATCTAATGCTGCCTCCAAATATGCTGTGAGCTCTCTAGAAATGCAGTGGACTCCTTGCATAAATCTTAGAGGAAAGAACACCAGCTCACCTTTCCATAGAAACACCAGTGACTGAAACTGCTGTGCCAAGTGTGGCCGATGCAGGTACAGGCCAGCCTGACAGTTGTCTGGGAGCAGCGCTGGCAAGGAATTCCTGCATCAGGGAGAGTTTAGCCAACATGACTCATAAGGTCACTTTTGACTCCACAATTCTATTATCCTTGTTAATTTCCCCAATTCAATTTGCAGTACAGGATAAACAAACCAGCCTAATTTGATCTGGAACCTCTGCAGGCTATCACAGGTCATTTAATTTAAAACACATGGCCCTCCTCACCATTCCTGTGTTTTCCAAAATCTTCTAACAGACCCTGCTTTACAAGACTCCATATTATTAGTTTCACTCATGGCTTTTTCCAGTCTCTTACTTATTTGACAATTGCCTTTGATTCTACTTTACATTGGGGCAGAGGGAATATAAAAGAGTTTTCTCCTTTCTGAATTTCTCTTAAGTCATATGAATAGTAAGTTCAGATTAATACTACATTTCTTTTTTTATTTTTATTTTTTTAATTTTTTTATTTTATTTTTTATTTTTTTATTTTATTATTATTTTTTTTTTTCGAGACAGGGTTTCTCTGTGGCTTTGGAGCCTGTCCTGGAACTAGCTCTGTAGACCAAGCTGGTCTCGAACTCACAGAGATCCACCTGCCTCTGCCTCCCGAGTGCTGGGATTAAAGGCGTGCGCCACCATCACCCGGCTTAAATATTTTTTTATTTATTTATATGTATTTATTATGTATACAATGTTCTGTCTGTGTGTATGCCTGCAGGCCAGAAGAGGGCACCATACCTCACTACAGATGGTTGTGAGCCACCATGTGGTTGCTGGGAATTGAACTCAGGACCTTTGGAAGAGCAGCCAATGCTCTTAACCTCTGAGCCATCTCTCCAGCCCAATATTACATTTCTTACATCTTCACAGTGTGGCTTTCTCTTTTCAGGTTTGAGTCTGAGAAATTGGATATGGGTTATAGATAATCACAGATCTGGAAAAAACCTACTAAGGCAAAATTTCAGAGATGAATTACCAGATTTTAAATTTGGATATTAATATCATTTATAAAATAAATTTGATACACTGCAACCTTGTTAGAATTGGGGTACTAAAACCACTTGAGTCCTACTCATTAAGATATGCACAGTCCAGTCAGATGGCTCAGCCACGTGGTCTGGCAACCTGAGTTTGATTCTGGGGAACCACATAACAGAAAGAGAAAGCCAACTCCCCAAAGCTGCCATCTGACCTTTATACAGGTGCCAATGCATGTACATGCCCCCCCTCGACACACACACACACACACACACACACACACACACACACACACAATAAAAATGTAATTTACAAAGAAAATACCCACATTTTAAAGTTACATATCTTGGCATCCTTACATATGCTTAACTAAAGAGTCTTCACAGTTGAACGCAAACCTCATAGTGCATATGTCCCATTTAAATAGCAACTACCACATCGCAAAATCAAGCCTTAAACATTTGGTTTCTGCCAGTATGTGTCCACTCTCATAACTGATGCTACTTCTTGTCTTTTGCAGTGAATGTTGTGTCAATGTTACAGGAATTTTGGGAAAGTAAGCAGCAGCAGAGAACCACATTCTCCAGTGAAGGCCTGGTGGTGTATGAGTCAATGCCCTCCTCTGGGCCTCCCTTTGTGAGTTATGTGACTCTTCCTGGAGGGAGCTGCTTTGGAAACTTTCAGGTAAGAACAGCCAAGCCCTTGTTAGTAAAAGATAACTGGGCTAGAGCAGAGTTACCTTCTCACAAAGTAGCTGTGAGTTTTCTTGGATATAGTGAGTGAATAAAGCTGAGTCGTAGCCTATCAAATATATTGGAAAAATCAGTCAAATGTCCCAATTTAAAAATTAAAAAAGTGGTTGATATTGGGATGTGCCACAACACTTCTACAGAGAACAAATTTTTGTAGTATAGTATTTCATTTCCAAGATAACTGTTGCCTTTCCCAGAACAATTCTGGAATAAAATGTATAGAACCAGAAAACAATGACAAAGCCTTCCACCAGGGCATTTCTATCAGGTGAAAGGCTGCACTCCCATGATTTTGCCCTAATTAAGTAATCAATTTGGTCATCCTTGTAGCATATGTCTTTAATCCAGGACTCAGGAGACAGGTACAAGTGGATCTCTACAAGTTCAAGGTCAGCCTGATGTACCTAGAGAGTTCTAGGCCAGCTAGGGCTACATAATGAATCCCTGTCTCAAAACTAGCTAAATAAATAAATATTTATATAAAATATATAAACCTATGTAATCAGTCTACTCCACACCAAAGAAGAAAGTTAAGAGCTAGGATCAAGTACCAGTCCTTATCCCAGGGTCTGCCTCTGACTACTTGTAATCCCTTGAAAAACTCATTTCGACTTTTAATTTTCTCAGTTTTGAGATAGGAAATATCCACAGTATTAGCCAGAAGTCATAGAAAATGCGTTCTCAATGTGTTTATCATGATATATCTGCTACTTTATGGGCTTTCCAAATATCATTATTACAATACTCATCCATTTGGTTACACTTTTTCTTCCTTGTGTGTAAATGTGGATGATGTGGGATGCCCTTCTGTATATGCCTTTTATTGGTTGATGAATAAAGCTGATTTGGCCTATGGCAGGGCAGAATATAGATAGCCAAGATGGAAAAGATATATAGCAAGAGTTGACAGAGTCAAAGAGATGCCATGAAGCTGCCAAAGGAGACAGATGCCCAGAACCTTACCTGGTAAGCCACAACCTTGTGGCGATACTCAGATTGATATAAATGAGTTAATTTAAGATATAAGAGCTAGCTAGAAATATGCCTAAGCTATTGGCCAAACATTGTTGTAATATATATAGTTTCTATGTGATTATTCAGGTCGAGGCAGCCAGAAAACAAATGATCAGTCTCCATTTACAATGTAGACATATTTCTAATTGTGTATCTATACAAAGTATTAGCCTATATTATAGCCAATATCTGGTTATCCAGTGAGTCACTAGGGAATATCAAACAATCTAAGGATATGGTCCATACTCTTAGAAAATCAATGTAAAAAAGTTATAGTAATTATGGAGTTATATTTAAGAATCATTGCAAGAACAAACAAGGGAACTTTTAAAATTACCGGTCTTTTTAATGCAATAAATCATCCCTTATTCAGGAAACAAACAGTGGTGCTTTATTTCTGACATATGGAAAAACAAACACAGCCAAGTTTCTTTCTGAGCTTGATTGCTAAGAAGCCCTGTTTAAAACACACACACACACACACACACACACACACACACACACACACATATGTGTGTGTGTGTGTGTGTGTGCATATATATATTATATGTGCAGGTGTATAGAACCCAATATTTTTAAAGCAAGATAGCTTTAAAAGTATGAAGATAGATACATACCTGGTGTTACTTTAATTTCTACCTATACTTTTCCTTTGAATTGATATTTCACTCTATTTTACCTTATTGCCTGGTATATCTGCTTTGTGCTATCTCTAATCTTTTGTATAGTGAGATAATATTATGTTTTTAAGCTTTTAAAACATTACAATTATTTGTGTGTGTTCACACTCTGCCATGGTGCTTGTGTGAAGGGCAGAGAACAGCTTGTGGGAGTCAGTTTTCTACTCTATCATGTGAGTCCTGGGGCTTGAACACAAGTCATCAGATTTGGTGGCAAGCACCTTTACAAGCTGAGCCATCTCACTGGCCCAGGAAAGGCATAATTTAATAAACAGACTAACAAATCGATGCTGTGTATGTTATTGGGGAATGTAAATTAAAGCTGAGGTATACAGTTGAAGGTATCTTATTCAGATGAGAAAGTGTTCTCAGTATAAGGAATGGTATGTACAAAGGCACACCAAAAGAGGAAACCTCAAGGATTTTCAGGATTATCAAAGTATAAGTGTGGAAAGAACTTGTGGAAGATAGCATTTAGACACTTGGCCATCACACCTTGCAAAGGAATACATGTTCTATACTAAATAAAATCAAAACCCTGAATGTGAACGATATATTCAGATGTGCTTCTGAAAGACTTCTCTGGTCGTTGCATGAAGATATCTTAGAACTAAATGAAGTTAAGAGCTTCAGAAAGTGAAATGAGTCATGCGCATCTGTTGAGGTAGAGCTGCATATACAATGTGATCAACGGAGAATGTACACAGACTTAAAGATGGCTGGAAGTTGGAAAGTTGGGATAAAACCTCAATTTTAGCTTTAGCCACCGTCCAAGGAAGATGAGGCGGGAACAGAGACTCCAAAAAATGTGGACAGAATGATTGACTAGGGGGCATTCTCCTTGAAAGCTAAGTTGGAGATCTTTTTAAATACTGCATTTATCCATTAGTTTGTTTTGTTTTTTTAATAATTTATTTATTCTTATTTTATATATATTGGTGTTTTGCCTGCTTGTATGTCTGTGTGAGGGTGTCAGATCTTGGAGTTACAGACAGTTATTAGCTGCCCTATGGGTTCTGGGAATTAAATCCCATTCCTCTAGAAGAACAGCCAGTGCTCCTAACTGCTGAGCCATCTCTGCAGCCTCATTGTTTTTTTAAAATTAGATTGAATATATTGGGTGTATAGATATCTTCCGGTAAAACTTTAAGGCTACTGACATTGAAATAGGTCAAAATCTAGCAAATTTAGTTAAGGAAACCAAAACCTATGTCTTTGAAAAGATAAGTAATTTGGGCAGTTATAGAGCACACCTTTGATTCCAGTACTTGGGAGGCAGAGGCAGGCTGATGTCTGCAAGTTCAAGACCAGCCTGGTCTACAAAGTGAGTTTCAGGACATCCTGGTCTACACAGAAAAATCCTGAGAGGAGGAAGAGGAGGAGGAGGAGGAGGAGGAGGAGGAGGAGGAGGAGGAGGAGAGAAGGAGGAGGAGGAGGAGAGAAAGAAAAGATAAATAAGAAAGATAAGAAAGAACACATCTTCGGAATTTCTAAATAATAAAAAACAAAATAAATATTTAACAAGGTTTTGCCTTACTTAGAAGACAAGACATACAAATTATAGGAGTGTAATAAAAACAAACTAAAAAATCATTATGTTAAAAAACATAAGGGTTCTGTAGAAATGGCTAGATGATTAAGAGCATGTACTGCTATTGTAAAAGATGTAAATTCAATTCCCAGCACCCTCATCAAATGGCTCACAGCCACCTATAACTCCATCTCCAGGTTATCTACACTCACATGCACATAGACACACACACATTAAAAGAAATAAAACTAAAACATTTTAAAACTAACAGAAACATAAACCACTTTCTGGTTAGTAAGAAACTGTATTATCTTTATAACTTTTCTCTAAATCATTTCCAAATAAAAATTTTGACTAGGGGAGAAAACTAGTGGTCGCCATTACCTTACTGAAATCCAATGAATTTACAGCAATAGACTATTCAGCTGACCTTAGTTCTCCTCCTCCCAGTTGTATCTCCTAGAATCTGATACTGGATCCTTTCCCCAACTCTCCCACACCCCATGTCTTGATCTCTTCTAGTCATCCCCATCCTCACACTATTCCCACCTTCTAATTCCGTGCATACTCTCTGAATCTTCTCTTGGAAACAGTCTACCTCTTCCGATTTCTCAAAGCAGTTATTTGCTTTTCTATTAGCATCTTGTGCTAAGGTAATGTATGCATGTGTTTTCTCTCTGCAATAAAATATAGATGCCTCAGGAATGGGACCCATATCCTCAAGACCTTCATTATCTCAAGCACTGCTATTTTCACATAAGATCAACCTAATAAATTTTGTTTAATCAATACTCAAATTAATGAATAACAAACCCCAAGAATAACTTAGTGGTGTTACTCTTCTATGTAATCAATAGTAAGTAAAGGTATCCGCTTAACTTTTCATGTAGGGCTACAGAGGCTCGTAACCCTGTACTAAATCAATATTATCTTGTACATATCTATGGCTAAAGTACTGGAAGTGAATCAATGAGAAATAATTGCTCTAGGACCCCCCCCCCATTCCCTCTGGATTTCATTTGTACATAAGTTTGCTCTCACTTGGTTCTCATGGCCATGAATAACCAATTATTACTGTATTTGTACTCAGGAACGAATTATGTCCACAGTCAATAAATGCACTCATTATAGTATATCTAAAATGGAATGCATTTATCATATAAAAACATATCTAGAGACCATGGATCTAAGAATTCCAGTGCTCTTGTTTTTGTTTTATGAATTTTCCTATTGTCTCATAAATTTTGACTCAAATGACAGGACTTCCCTTAGGTGGTGAATCCAACATTCTCCTTGTAGTTTTAAAAAGATGAAAACTCCTCAGCAGGGAAGCCTCTGGGTGACTTATTTGATCATTTTAAAGTCTCCTTTTCCTTATGTTTAAATCATCATAGTTTAAGGTTCCCAGGAGGATTGTTAACATCCTTGCTTTAAAAGATCCAGAACTTCCTGAATCAAATATATTTTGAAATGTATTTGGGTGTTGGCAACCAAATCTAGCCCCTTGACCCATTTGTACCTCCAAAACATGGTTGGGCAAAGAAAAAACAGGAAATAAAAGAGGAATAAGAATTTCTCTAGAGATGATACCTTGCACTGTTTCTTTGTGAGTTCAAAAACCATCTTAAATGTTCTTTTTACCATATAGCATTTGGCCATGTTTTCTAGCAGCTAGCCTATAAGAGCCTACCTACATGCTTCTTTTTG